GGGCAAGGGATGTGCTGGCCGCGGCTTCCCGCCGCCCCCATTGGCCCGGGACGGCAAACCGCGGCCAGTGCGGGCCACGATCGGCTGAACTTGCTGCGTCAGCAGGTAAACAAACTGGCCCGGCCCGCCAGGGGGCTTACCCTGGCAAGCCGCATGCCAAAAGTTGCCGGCCCCTGGAATAGACAGTCATCACTTAATGAGGAGCTATTTGATATTTTGTTTCCTATGCTTTTCTTACTGCATCTTATTCAAACCCTGCTCCAAAGACAGAATTGTTAATTTCTTAATAGGCTTTTTATGGAATTTGATGCTATAGTATATGAGTGTTTCACAAACATTAATTTGTTTTCACAACACCCCTGTTAGATGATCTGGTTTTATTATCCCAGTGCTACATATGGGGAGCTGAGAGACAGACACTTTAAACTCAGAAGTATCCACTAACTTTGGGTGCCCAGCTTGAGACACCTAGAACCTGATTATTTCAGAGCACTTAACTTATATATAACTTTGTACGTTCAAAGGACAGCTCCCAGTGATTTCATTTGCAGTTGGGAGTGCGCAGTACTTCTGTAAATTAGACCCCAGGGTCTCAAGTCAGGCATCTAGAAAATGAGGGACACGCAATTAGTGACCACCTGTAAAAAGTTTGGTTTATGTGATGCTTGGTAAATCACGTAGGAGCTTGTTGGCAGAGGCAGGGATAGAATCCAGTTCTCCAAGGCAGCATTCAGATGCCTTAACTATGCTACAATTCTTTCTCTTCTTGCAGTTCCGTCTCATTCACTACACACCTTTCAATTTCTGCAACAGAGTTAGGGCAGACAACAGCTCTTTTAGTTCACAACCTTGATTCATTCCCAGAACAAGTCCATCCTGTGCGCTGAAAGAGGCATGGGTCCTGTGGAAAAAAATAGTCTGTGATCATGTAATTAAAGACTGAATCCTTAATAACATTTTCAATGTAGATTTTTGTGTGTAATTTCCTAGATTTTTTTTGAAAAGCAAAGTGAACAAACCGAAATTCCATCATGACATCATATTAACACCTACCTGATTCATCAGCAGGGATGGAACCTTTAGATCTACTACACAGATCTGTGCCACTTGAGCTAATGGAGTAACTGGTAGAAATAGTAGGTTGTCATCCTCTTTGCAGACCAGCACTATAGGGCGCTGAGACGCACACTTTGCCCAGGGGATTTCATAGATATGTACTGACATCAGAGAAATGTCTGGAGTGGAATGTGGTCTAGTAGGCAAGGATTTTTCTGCTCCTTCTCTCAAAGTTTGACCCCTTCTGCCTCATCCCCTTCAAGCTGTCCCAGTCCTATCTGTTTCCCATCCCATTCCCCTCATCCAAGTCCCAGGTCTCTACTCCTCAATCTCTAATCCCAAACCAAGTTTCCTTGTCCAGCCAGTCCTGGTCACCACCTCTTGACTCCGTATCCCCGTTTTCCCCTCCCAGTCTCCTTGTCCACCCATTTCCAGTTCCCCCAAGCCCCTTCAGCTTCTTGTTGCCAGTTTCCTTGCCTGGCCATTCCCATCCCTCCTCCTTCCCCTCTACTCCTTGTTTGATATGTCTTCCTCCCCACCCACTTTTCCCATCTCGACTGGGTCCCAGTCACAGTTTACCTCCTCGGTCTCCTTATCTAATCTCATTTCCCACCCCTGGCTCTTTGCCCAACCAGTCCCAATTCTCTCCCCATGTCGCCTCATCAAATCTTTTCCCCGTACTTCCTTCTGCCCTTTCTAATGGTTCCAAGTCTTGTTGCCCAGCTAGTCCCAATTCCTACTCCTTACTTCCTGCCTGGTCCACATCTAATTTAAGTTTTCTCCCCCACCTCCCTGGAAACTGGCTTTCAGACCCAACCCCACATTTCCCACCTTGGCTCCCATTGCTAAGCCCTTTACCCAGCCAGTCTCTTCCCCTCCTCCCTGCTACTTGTCCCAGTTTGCTCCCTAATCCCCTCCTCAACTCTTGTCCCCTCTGCATCTGAATCAGGCAGCTTCCTCTTCCATGCTGCCTGGGACCAAAAACACAGAATTGACATGCTCCCTGCTCTTGCTGGCAGCAGCCCAGAGAAACAATTGTGGCGGAAATACTTGCTCAGTACAGATGGAATTTTCAGAGCTTTTAGCTATGCTAGCAAGCGTCTGCTGAATATATGTGAACTGACTTTTTTTCAAAGGTTTATAACTTGGCCAAATTTGGGTTGTTATGGGGATGGCGTATGGCCCACCTTTGGCATTAAGGTTACCCCCTGCCAAATTTTAAGTCCCTGGTTCAAAGCATGGGGGCACTAGAACTTCTCAGAGAAAAAGGTTTGCCAGAATTGAACATTTGCAAAACGCTGTATTTTTCCATAGCTTAGTTCTCAGAATTTAGCATGACAGACTCCTCTCATAGAAAATTTCTGTTATAAGTTATAAGCAACTGAAAACAAGGTTTTATAGGTCATGTGGGTAGTCTGGTGAAATGGAATTGAACTCTGGTCTCCTGAGTCCAAGGTTAGCATCCTAACCACTGAGCAGTCCTTCTTTTATAGATTCATAGATTTTAAGTCCAGAAGGGACCATTAGATAATCTACTCTGACCTGTATAACAGAGGCCATAGAACTTCACCCAGTTACTCTTGCATTGTACTGTCAGTTTCATCTGTTAATGTGAGTCTTCAACATAGCAGCAAGAGGGGAGAAAGACATTTTTAAAAATAGGAAAATGTGGATTTTTTTATAAATTTGTAAACAAGCGATTAGGAGTCAGGCCATCTAGGTTCTAGTTACAGCTGTTCTGCTGACATGATATGTGATCTTGATGTTAATTTTTTGTCTATAATACTTCTCTGTCTTCGATGGGTATCCCATGGATGTAATCTTTGTAAAGAGCTTTGAGATTTTTGAATGAATTATTAAGCCATTAAAGTCCAATTCCTCCAGGACTTGCTCTGTTGAAGTATATGTTCAAGTAATGAGTTTTATAAAGAATATCCATTATATCGTGACATGGATCTATGTAAAAATCCAAGAATTTAATATAAATCTATGAAAAATTACTTTTCCAGTGACATGGACCTTCAATTCTTCATAACATATGAATACAAGAGTGCATTACAAACCGTCAAAATTAGTCCTGTTACTCTTTAAATGTATTGCATGTCAAGACAGATGTCATGAGGTTAAATTTGGCTTAATCTAGATTTTGTGAAAACAAGCTTTTACAAATCATTTGAACTGTTTACGTGCATTTTTAATTGTAGTTTAAAGATTTTGTTGTTGTTTATAAAGTGCTGTGAGAATGAAAAATGTTATATAAATGCTAAATGTTATTAATATATTTAGATATTTAGTAGTGTTTGCAACCCAAACAGTGCAACATTTTATTCCTTCATGAGATCCTGCAGGTGGAATTGACTAGAAACTGACTATGAAGTTGTATGAGCAAGTTTAATTAGC